GGCTCTCCGTGTCGTAGGTTCGACTCTTGACTTTTGGGGATATTTTTTATTTTTTTATTTTTTACCCCAGGGGATAGGAACAATCAGGGAATGTTCGGCTTGTGAATATAAACTGCCTTGCAAAGCCAGGTCGCTGTGGGATGAATAGTTTTCGAGAAATCAAAGTTGTAAAAATTTCGAACTACGACCCTACATCCCGAATTCTTTGGATTTCGTATTACCCGAAATCGAGGGGTGTCCAACTCGAAAAAATCGTGTACACCTGATTACCAAAAAGTGATGATTACCAAGGAGTACCGAAGATTACCGAAGATTACCTATGATTACCAAGGGTTTCCGAAGATTACCTCTGACAAAATATTACCAGAGTTTACCAAAGATTGCCATTGATTACCACAGATTACCAGTGATTCCCAAAGATTACCGGTGATTCCTAAAGATTACCAGTGATTACCAAAGATTACCAGTGATTACCAAAGATTTCTAGGAATTTCCTTGCTGGATTACTTAGTGATTACCAAAGATTACCTGGTGATTACCAAAGATTACCTGGTTATTACCAACGATTACCTAGTGATTACCATGAATTACCGGTGATTACCAGGGATTACCGGTGATTACCAGGGATTACCGGTGATTACCAGGGATTACCGGTGATTACCAGGGATTACCGGTGATTACCAAGGATTACCGTAGATTACCAAGGATTACTGGCGATTACCAATGATTACCGGTGATTACCAGGGATTACCAGGGATTACCTACTCTGTGTACACCTGATTACCTCAGTTGGGCACCCCTCGCCCGAAATGGGGTGTTCTATAGGCGGGTCGGATTAAGCTGACTCTGGCCGCCGGGTTTGTGGCCACAATTTTGTGGCCACAAATAGGGACGTGCCCTGCCGTTTGACAGGTCTGCGAAGCCATGCCTCTTCTATCGGTGTCTGATGGCTGTTCCTTTGAGTCGCCTGTTGGCTCAGAGAGTTGCGTGCTGCGGCTTGTTTCGTCTCCCCGTATCGTAAGTTCGCCTCTCGACTTTTGGGGGTGTATTTTTATTTTTTTACTTTTTACCTTAAGGGATAGGAACTATCAGGGAATGTTCGGCCGCTGAGGGTCGCTGAGGGATGAATAGTTTTCGAGAAATCAAAGTTTTAAAAATTTCGATCTACAGTGGCCACTCGCATAGCCGCGCCGCACTGTTCTCCACGAGCGTGTTTGTGGCCAGAACTTTGCGGCTGCAACGCGCGCCCCAAAAATCAGCTTATACTGGACCAGCTATCGAGACCGTAAGGAGGCCAGCCACAACGCGCCACAACGATGCCACGACCTCTCTTCTTATAACCCATGGAGGCCCGAGGGGTGTCCCCATGGCTACACGACCGCGTCCCTCGGGTTGCCTACCGCACAGAGGTCCTGCCACAAGTGGTCTGTGGCTGTGCTCTAGAAGCTACGATTAGCGATTGGACCGTTGTGGCAAGTTGTGGCTGGACCCCTGCATCTGCATCGATGGGCAACCCGGGGGACGCGGTCGTAGGGTCTAGAGCACAGCCGCAGACCAGCCGCATAGAGACACGTCGGTATTTTCGCGATGGGGCAGTTGTGGCGAGTTGTGGCTGGACCCCTGTGCGGTAGGCCACCCGGGGGACGCGGTCGTGTGGTCATGGGGACAACCCTCGGGCCTCCATGGGTTTTAAGAAAGGTCGTGGCATCGTTGTGGTGCGTTGTGGCTGGCCTCCTTACGGTCTTGATAGCTATAGTCGGTCCGGTATAAGCTGATGTTCGGGGTAAGCGTTGCGGCCGCAAAGTTGTGGCCACAAACACGCTCGTCTGTTCTCCTCTGTAGGCCGGCGAGGCTATGCGAGGGACCCCCATCTCCGCTGATGGCCGGCCGAAGGATGAAGCCACAGTGCTGTATGTGTTTATTTAGCTTTAAAGCCTATGAATAGTAATCAGAGAACAATCAGAATCCACGCCAACAGTGTATGGCGGTGAGCAGTGGGGTCAGGCTCAGGCTAGTAGAGCTTAGCGCAGCTATGAGAGGCGCGGCAATGCGAGTGGCCACTGTACGATCCTCTTTTGAAACGATATAAAACTTGGTTTCCCGATGCGTGAGTTGATCGCCCACTTATTTTGACAGCCCCTAACGATCATCAAAGATGACTTAGCCATCGAATGCCATCAATGTTAGGGGGATTCACAACCATCACAACCCTCGCTGCGCGCGGTGCTCCGTGGCACGGTGGCCGGAGCCGAACCGAGCTGAGTGGTGACGTCACAGGCCCTCGTGAGCCTTATCCTTCCCTCCTGCCCGGGGCCAGACTCCTCAAACGTTGACTCTTTTCATACTTCAGTAGCTCTATATTTCGCATATTGCACGTTCCCAAGTCAGCTAGCCTCACTCCCAGTTAACTCTGTTTGGTGATAAACAATAAGCAGACGAAGCAGACAAGATTTGACAAGGAACGCAATTGAAAACATTTACTGAAATTTTAGATTTTTCTGGGTTATTTGCCTCTTTATTTAAGTTTGCATTCATGAATAAGTGGGAACTTCATTGAATAGTGTAACGAGTTTTCCCGGATTGGTTTCAAACTTTTTATTTTTATTTTTTGTTTTAGCTGATAATAATGTTTGTATTTTCTTTGGTTAGGTGCTGCTTGTCCAATGAAAAAACATCGTATTTGATCATGTCGTCAGGCAAATAAAGTGTCATATCATCTACTATAATTATTGCTGAACCATGATACAATGGGGAAAAATATTTCGCCTCAATTTGGCCTCTATTCTGGTTTATTAAGGTTGTCTAAATGCAGAAGTCACAGGGCTTCCATATTGAGTCTAACCAACTGTAATATTATAAATACAAGGACCCAATTTTCTAGTTCTACGGCTTTCCCCTCAGCTTCAAAATGGCCAAGTAAGTTTTAAGAAATTATGTTTTAAACTGTCATTCAAACCATTCTGATAAGTATAATCTGTAGAACTTTGCCAGTATCAGTAAATCAACTATCCAGTAATTATCGTAAAGTTTATCACAAATCAAATAGTAGAAAAAATATTTTGAAATGTTTTGCTTATACTAAACTAAGACCCTAATGGTGGGTCCTGCTGTACATTCTTTATCTCTGTAAACATTTACCATAGTGGAGGAACTTCAAGGCCGTTATAGTGTTATATAACTTCCTCTAATGGAGAATGTTATGTAACCATGTGTAGGTAGATAGGTAATCAGTTTGGAGCTAGGTGTGAGGCTCTTTAGTGGTTAAGTCTTAAATTTGACTCAATGGCTTTTTTAGCTGTACCTATTGTCCAGTAAGTTTTCCTTTCAAATCAGAGACAAGCAGAAAAGATTATTAGTACCAAGTTTTAAGTTGTGTTTTTTTTAAGCATTCAAGGTACTTAACTTTTCTGTTTTAGCCGCGAATTGGTGATTGCGTTTGTGTATGACACTCAAAGGTGTACACAAGAAGCAGATGATCCACAAGATGCTGTGCTTTTCTTCCATCCTGGCTGGGTTAGTGAGCAGCAGAGGCTTGCATTATGTGGACAGCTCATGGGAGCTACATACTTCCTTCTTGCTTCATTCAGCCCACCTCGAATACTTTCCCTTCAGAGTGGAAAGTTTGCGATACGCACTTTTGGGAGATATGTTGTGGTAAATGTTTTGAAATTGAAATTGAGAAAAATGTACATTGTTAAAATGCCAATCGTTATGATAAAATACTTCAACAATTCATTGTTGTTCTTAGGCGATTGGGACAGACCGCAATATTCCTGAGTGGGTGTTGGAACAAAGAGCAGATATTATGACGTCCTTACTTGAACTTTACTTTGGAGATTTAGAGAGTCTTGCTGCCCAGTGTGAAGCTAAGAAGGCTACTGGCGATACAAGTCCATCATTTTCTGAGAGACTTGGTAGGATATTTGAAACATTTCTCCCAATAGTTCAATATTCCGGACAGATTTTAGGAAATGTCCCCACCATGCGACTTCCCAAGGTTTGTATAATTTATTAGTTTTCTCTTAGATTTTTTTTTTCTGGTTCGTATGGAATACTCCAATGAATTACATGTCCTTATTCACAGAGTGCAAGTCACGTCTTTCTAGAGGCAATGCAAATACTTCACTGCTGTCAGAATCAACCAGGTGTCCTTGGAGGCACTGTTCTCTATCAGAATAAGTAAGTTATCTTCAATTAAATGTTTGTTTAATTTTTCACACATGTAATTTATTTATCTATGTAATATATTTTCTACTTTTGATTCTAAAATTTTATTCTTCAGAGTGATTGCTAGTCAGTTGGGTGCAGACATTACAAAGCATCTTGTCCTTTCTGATCCTTATAGAATAAAGGTAATAGAAATTAATCGAGGAGTGTCCTAAAATCTCTTGACAGTTAAATACTAAATGAATACTGCTTTTTTCCTATCTTCCAGTCACCTGGCACCAATGTTGAAGTGTCATTCCAATTGCCGGTCGGTGCTCAACTATTGCACTTATTTGTCCCTCAGAGGGAATTTCATTCTCTTGCTAGAGATGCAGAGCAGATTAGGAACACCTTTTCTTTGGTTGACAAAGCACCGAAAGTAATTGTTCTCCCTCTATACAGTGTTTTCATTTCTTACATTTTCATTATTAATGTTTGTAAACTATTTTTTAATTATTTTTTTCAGATTGTGAGTCGAAATTCCAAAGAGTTCATTCCGTGCCTCAAAACAGACAAATCTAAAATATTTACTGTACTTGAAGAAGAAGATGGTGAAACAGGAGTTGAGATTCTTCCTCAAACCTCATTCATATCTACCTCATACAATGTGACGAAAAAATTATCTCCTACTGTGGAAGAAAATATAGAGTCTGCTACTGACACATCTTCAAGGCTTGTGTGCAGCACACCTCTAAGAGATTTTAACATAAACAAAGTCTTACATGCTAGAGCTGTGTCAATTTGTAGTAGAGTAGAAGCAGACAAAACTCCTATTAATAGAGTTCCAGTTGCCGATGTTGCTGATAACAGTGTGGTTAGTATGTCTTCCAGATAGGGAAAAATGTGACTCTTAAAATGCTTTGTATATTTATTTTCTACCCTTATAACCCTTTCCAGATCTCTAACCCAGTCAACACCATTCCTGATGTTGTTAGGGATGCAGTTGCTGCTCGTAGCAGTAGCAGGCGAGATATGATTGACAAAGCCTGTATTACTATTCCATCCAACAATAATAACATATTTCAGACGGTGTATGACCTGCGCACTTATTTAAAAGAGCAAACTTCTTCTAAATCTCTAAGCATGAGTCTTCCATCAATAAATTCTACAAATAATGTACCAATGAGGTAAAGGAGAATTCTTATGGCTTCTGTAGTTTAGAACATCACATATTTCACATATGTTGCAGTTAAAGTATTATTTTCTTCTCCAGGTATTACAGTTTTGGACTCCCAGTTCCTACTGATGAGCAGTGTTCCCCCCAACGTCCTCGGCGTTGCTTTTATAACACAATAACAGACCCGTGCTTCCCAGTTTTTCGCCAAGACGGCCTTCCCTTATCCCAAGCCCTCTTTGATGAACAAATTGCAAACCATTACCGTGCTTTGGACAGCAAACCTGTTTTCAAAGTAAGTGTTTCGAATATTTATGTTTTTCTTCGCATTGCTGACTTTGTGCTGAACCATTGGCTTAATGTCTCCAGGTGAGGCCATCGCATTCAAAGTCAAAGCAACCTCCTCTAGCTTCCATTCCACTTCAGCCAGTGAAGCAGGGGCCTGATGTGGCCTCAACAAAATCCGACGTACCCAGTGATTTATCAAATCAGCCCAAGAAAAGGCCTGTTACTCTTGCTTTGAAAACTATTTCCAGTCCTGATGGCATGCCAAGTGAAGTGAAAAGTGAACAACAAAACCACCAGCAGTCATCACGCCCACCCAGACCTATAAGTTTGTCAGGCAATCAATTTAACAGACCTTCAACTTTATCTGGTCTGAATGATGTAAAAGATAAAAGTTCTCTGTCGTTGGGCTTCAACGATAGTAAAACGCAACTTGAAGAAAGGAAACGCATTGCTCAGCAAGCTCTTCCTGCAGTTGCCCGACCAACAAGCCTCAGTGGAGGATTAGCAATAACTCCATTAATGGCAAAACTCAGTCACCTAGCAATGGATAGGCATGGCAGTCTTATGACACCTGCTGCAGATCCAACTCCATGTGAACCTAAAGAGATGTCGTTTCCTAACAGAGGTAATATTATTAAAAATTTACTTTTAGTTCTTTGAAAGGTTTGTGATGATTCCTTATCGGTTCTTGTGCTTCCCCTGCTTTAGTTGAAACACCCATGGCTCCCTTTCCTAAGCCATTGCCGCGGTTGAGTCAATCTGACTTGGAGGATTTTGCTGGGGATGGAAACAAGGAGACTATTCTTCTTGTCTGTGGCATTCAAAGCATGTCTCTTCTTTTGCTGTTGGATCCTGACTTTATTAGCTCAGAATTATTAAAAACTGTGGTAAGGATTGCTTTTTACAATTTAATTAGTATGTTTCCTCTATTTGTTCTTTGTACCTTTCTAATGGCATATTTCAATAATTTGATTTCTAGTGGGATGTATCCTTTGCTAGCCTAGAGAATTTGGAACAATCACTTAATTATTCTCTAGATCATGTTCCTGCACCTGGTAATAGTGGTGCTGATTCCTACAGTTTCCTGTGTATTGATCCAGCTTGGGACACAGTTCATAAAGGTGGGGTATGGAGTGGCCCAGAACTTGAGCTTGTTGGAAGCTTACATAGGGACTTTCAAGACCAGCAAAATCTTACTGAAATATGTGTCAGGTAAAGTTTTACATTTCCTTTGTTAAATTGTTACAATTATTAAAAATCAAAAAAAAAAGGAAAAAAGTGTGCTAATATAATTCCCATTCATTTTTTATACAGAGTTCATGAAAGTCTTGTGTATGGCTACCAATGTGGCCGTTCAGAAGTGTTTTATCAACAACAGCAGGTTGGTCAGTCAGGCATTGGTTTACCCACTCCTGCTGATCTGATGGGTACTGTGCCCCTGAAGGCCAGGCGTCGACTGGAAAGAGATCATGGGATTGTTTTGTTGTAAGTTTTTTGTTTCTTGTCTAGTCTGCTACTTGAGTACTTAAAATACGAAGTTTAACTTTGTGATGTAATTTTCATCTGTTTCAAAGATAAGCAAGGTACATGATATCGTTATTTAAAGTTTTATGCTGATCTTTTCTGGGCTTTCTACTTAGTATTGTTCATGGTAATCACGGTAAATTTGAACAAAAGGTAAATTAATGTAGGTATCTTCATTTATTGTGATTTATTAGTCATTCTAGTCTTTTGTTCTGATTGCACTCCTGGCATTGTCAAAGACATTTGCGTAACATTTGTTTGTTCTGTGGGAAATATAATATGTCTTATAGATAGCTGCGTCCAGATACGTGGGTGTCTTGGGTGCCTTGGGTGTCTGAGTCTGCTAGTATGAGAAAAATTGAGATTTGGACCAATCACAGCCACGATAGTTCCCTATTTTCTCATACTAGGAGGCTCATGCACCCAAGGCACCCATTGCACCCACGTCTGGACGCAGCTATAACATCTAGGGTGTCCCATATACCCCATACTTTTTTTTTTCTTATACTGTACCGTATTCATGGCGGGGTTCTTACCTGCTTGATGCCTTAAGGCAACACGGTGGGTGTCGGTAGGCAAGCCTGCCCACACACCTGCATGCAATACAGTTGACGCAAAAAAAAGTAATGTGGTCTATGGGATACAGTGTATGCTGATTTAAAAAGAAAATGTGATTATTGTTTCACCATATCTGAACTGAGAGAAATTCAAATTTTTATTTGTGAATTTTCTTGTAACAATGGGAACAGTTTGTCAAAACAACCTCTAAGTCTAATTTTAATTTTTGAACCATTATTGTTGTGTGTAACTATAAGGCTTGAGCTCATCTCTTAAAAGTTCAAAGTGGTATTTTTTATAAATGACATTCTGTTTCGACTGTTTTAGAGCTTCTGAAGACGACCATTAGGTTGGTTGTGCTCCTGTGCCACTAACCAAACGTTTGAAATATTACTATCCTTGCCCATTCCCAAATATTGAAGAAAGCTAAATGAAATAGGCAGCTTGGTTACTTCTATACTTAACTTTATATTTATTTTTCTGACTTATGAATTTGTGATTAAGGTTGTTTCACAAAAGTCAGTTGTGTTTTTTTTTTATATTAATTCTTAAGTGCCATTGACGAACCATCTACATTCCAAAAATGTGAATTATCCATGTGTTTCACAAGCTTTAAGTAAGTGCTTTTCTTTTTTTAAAGCCAAGACTGGTAAATGGTGCCATTCCATTTTTAGGTGTATGGGTTTCCAATTTTTAAAAGATAGGTGCCAAATCCTTGAAACCCTGTGTTTTTTGGAATATACTAAAGATAATTATACCAATTTTTAAAAAGCTGTAGGTTTTATTTGTATCTACTGCTGGTTTTTTTCCCAAAATTGTACAAGAGTTAATTACCTGTTGCATTTAAGGTAGAAGGAGAATATAATATGCATTGGGAGAATTAGTGTTCTCTGATAAAAATTTGCCAGACTGAACCGGTTTTATTTGCCCTCTCTGTACTTACATATTATTAAGTATGAATAATGTTTTATTTGTTAAATGAGTCTGTGTTTTATTTAGTGTACTTTGTAATAACCCAGTATATGTTGTTTTGAAGTAATTATCCTCCTTTATTCTTGTTGGATATTTTTTAAAGCTTTTACTTGTAATTAAATTAGTTTATACAATTGTGATCTCCATCAATTTTCTCCTTTTTATTGTTTCAATGAAACTTTGCTGCTGAAAAAATTGAGGAACTCGATTAACTAATATTGTCCATCAGGAATCCACAGAACAGAACAAATCTGAAAACCTGTTTATCATGTTTCTGACAGTTTGTTAACAAACTGAACTTCTATATGCAGGTACACTATTTTTCCTAATCTAAAGTCAATCAGCTAAAAGCCACCGAAAACTCTAACTGAACTGACTTAAACACAGTCGTACTAGTTATTGCATCCCAACAAACTTGTCTGCCCCAAAACAAAATCAAGCACCATAGTGTGAGTGCCCGTCTGCGAGATGAGATGACAGAGATGTAGGAGGTCGCCACTTCTTGGTTTTGTCTAGCCAGTGCTTCTCGCAGACCAGAACGCTCTTCCGGTAATTCGAAATAATTAGGCGTATGGGATTTCAAGGAAATGCGCGTCAGTGTCAGTAGCATCTGCAGCGGTGGGTTGGGCACTCGCTCACGGACCGGTAGACGATGCACTTGTCCTGGCAGTAGACGTCTGCACCCTCCTTGCCGGCCAGGTCGCCTATACCCTCGCAGGACTCGCTGCAACACGCAGTGAGTACACATATTAGCTGTTCGATCGGCCCAGACGATAAGTAGTACCACCGCGCACCAAGGGAGGTGGAGGCGAAGCAGCAGCAGTTCAGAGTTGTTAAGAGAAATCATTAGGGCTCATAGCGTATATAGAAGACATCATGACTGCTGGGCGGAGCGCGTTCGCCAACGAGATAGACGGTGAAAAGACACGTATTTTTTTGTGAGAACTCACGGGCAGTGGCACACGGACGGCGGGCAGTTCGGCGGGTAGCGCAGGCAGTTGGTCTCGCACCAGCTGTCCATTCCGGGTATACTGCGGTACCAGGGCGTCGCGACGCACACCTGCGATCTGTAAAAACACGCGTCACGTGAGAACAAATTACGGTGTAGAAAGTAGGGGCGGGGGGGGGGAGCGGCCTGGGTGAGGGTGAGGTCAGGAGGGAATTCCTCCCTCGATTCCTCCCCCCGGTACTGGTCGGGGACACCGCCGCCACTCACCTGATGACGAGGGGGAAGACATAGTTGGGGGCGCGCAGGTCCCGGACGTACAGCAGGAAGGGGTTGTCCGAGCCGGCGAACTCTGGCGGCAGCCCGCCGCCGACGGACGTGGTGATGCTCAGGTCGGCGCAGTTGCGGAAGGTCTCGGGCTTGCCGCAGCCGACCGCCTCGGTGCCGTTGGGGCACGTCCCCCACATGTTGCCTGCGAGACGACACGACGACGGGCACGTTTAGCTTTCAGCGCACCTCGCATGTTTCTCATACCGCCGGCGGGGGGGGGGGGGGCACAGCAGCGCGCCCGCGCCAGGTGGCGGCTGGGGTCCGCCGCAGTCTCCCCAGGTGGCAACAGGCGCAGGGGTGCAGCGCCGCCACCGGACCACAGCTGTGCGCGCAGCTGCAGCCAGCTGCAGCCCCGGCCATGGCCGCCGTCGGCGCGGGCCGCCCGCTCGCGCCCCTCGCGCTGACCGCCGCCCTGCTCCTGGCACAGGTGAGCGGGGCCATGCCGGTGCGGATCTCGCCGTGCGAGCGCGTGGCGTGCGTCGGCCGCGGCGCGCTGGCGGTGACTGGCGAGGGCGCCGCCGAGAGGACGCGGACCAGGCGACCCTCCGCCCCGGCCCCCCGTCTTATCAAATCAGTCTAGATCTGACCCTGCGGCCGGGCCAGGGCCGCGGGCCGGATCAAACTAAGTCGCGCCCTTGCAGCTGTGCGCCGGCCGCGGCGACCCGGACGCCTGGGACCCCTCCGCCGTCACGCCGGCCGCGGCCGGCGGCGCCTCGCAGATGCTGCTCTTCAGGGAGGCGACGGCGCGGGTGCTCGAGGCCGCGCACGGCTGGATCAACTGCCTGCTGTCCGCCCGGCCGCGGCCGCCGGCCGAGATCGTCCAGTGCACGGAGCAGGCGCTGCCGCTCGTCGGCGACGTCCTGGCGGCGCTCAGCACCGCCGGCTGGGCCATCCGCTACAAGAGCCCCGACGAGGTGGACGGCATCCGAAGGATCATCCAGAGGATAGCGGACATCCGGACGCAAGTGAGGCCATTAGTACGGTGACGGGGCGCGCGGCGAACCTTTTTGGGGTCGCGAGGGTTCTTGTGTCTCACAGTCTCGCCTGCTCGCAGGTGCACAGCTGCGTGGAGGGGCTCGCAGCGCACCTGCAGGTGTCGGGCAGATGCTACACGGTTCTGTAGCCGCCACCGCGGTGAGTCGCGAGTCCCAAAGCTTCGAGTTTGGTGGCGCGGGGACCTCCACCCACCGCCGGCCGCCGGCGTGCAGAGCCGCGATAACATCGGTCCCTTACCCTCTCTCTCTCTCTCTCTCTATCCCTCTCGCCTTCTATCTCGCTCTCTCTGTTTCTCACTCACTCGCCCCTCCCCCCTCGTACCTGTAAAGTAGGTCCACTGCATGACGCACTGCGTGCAGGTGACGAAGGGCGGCAGTCGCACCCGGTACCTCAGCACGGCCTTCTTCTTCGTGTTGGGCGGGATGTGGTAGGCCCGGTCGCGCGTCCCGGATATGTAGAGAGGGTACCTGCGGGCAATTATTCGCTTTTATCGTGATTCAAACTTTGGCGCGGTGGCGTGACGGCGGCGCCCCCGTAGCGCGCGCGCGCGCTCGGCTCTGCACTGTGTACCTGTCGAAGCAGCCCTGTGTCGCCTCGTACGCGGGGTTGTTGTTGGGGCACAGGTTGAGCTCGAACCTTCCCCAGTGGTTGGCCGTCAGCTCGATCTCAATGTCGATGTCCTGCCGTTCAGAGAGAAAAAGGAACATTCATGATGGCGGGGTCCGTCGAGGTGCATCTACTATGAGTGAATGCCAATTGTCTCTTACCTGTCCCGAGCTGTACCTCCTGCCGATGATGCCCTTGGCGAACTGCCCCCCGGCCTCGTGCGGCCGCGTCTCCAGCTGCCAAGGGTCGCCGCACACCCCGCAGCGCCCCTGGTTCTGGTCCCATTGCACTGCCGACAGAAACACACACACACAGCACGTCGGCGTTAGCTGGGCTGCCTATACCCGCCTCGGAGGGCGCGGCGGTGGACTTCACCCGGACGACTTTGCGCGGGCTCAGCAGCGCGTCAGCAGCGTCCTTCATGTGATGAAGCATCTGTCCTCCGCCGCAGGTGGCCCCCGCCGCCCATCAGGACACAATACCCGCGCCAGACGCCCCTCGTCATGCGCCGTGGGCGGCGCTGCGCGGCACGGCGCGTCGGGCCGGGGCGGCGGCGGGCGGCGCCCGAAAAGCACCGCGTCCTCACGCCTAAACTTTGCGTGGCACACCGGCGCGGCGCGAGCTCTCAAATCACCTCGACTCATCGATGGGGCAACAGATTTCTAATTTAAAAAAAATAA